CTCTCTCTCTCTCTCTCTCTATATATATATATATATATATAAGCTTTACTGATTTTGTTTCTCTAGAGAACCCTGTCTAACACAGATGGTATCTTGTGGTGTTGGCAAAACTGGATAACCATTTGCAGAACAATCAAACAAGATTTGTACCTTACACCATACACAAAAACTAACTCCAGATGGATCAAAGACATAAACGTGAAACCAAAACTATAGAGTTCCTCAAGGAAAAAATATGGACAAACTTAGGGGCCCTAATTTATGGCATAAATAGTCTATCAAGTATAACCCAAAATGCACAAGCAGCAGAAAATAAACTTGATGAATAATAATAATAAAAAAACAAAACTCACTGCCTTTGAGTCAGATCTGACTCATAGTGACCCCTCCTTGGGTTTCCAAGGCCGTATCACTATAGAAGTAGATTGCCCAATCTTCTTTCCAAGGAGTGGCTGGTGGGTTTGAACCTCTAGCCTTCTGGTTAGCAATCAAATGACTTAGGCACTATGCACCAGAGCTCCTCCAAATCAGATGAATGGGACCTTTTAAAAATTAAATTTTTATGTGCTTCAAAAGACTTGTCCAAAATAGTAAAAAGAGATCCTACAGATTGGGAAAACATATTCAGCATTGACATATCTGGTAAGGGACTTATCCCTAAAAATCCCAGAACTGCAATACCTCAACAACAAAAAGACTAATAATCCAACCAAAAAACTGGAAAAAGACATGAATAGACACTTCACCAAAGAGGATATTCAGGTGGCCAACAAATACATGAAGTAATATTCAGAATCAGTAGCCATTAGACAGATGCAAATCAAAAGAACAATGAGATATCATTTTGCCCAGCACTAATGGCAAAGTTCAACAAGACAGAAAATAACAAATGCTGGTGAGGATATGGAGAAATATGGACTCTCATACACTGCTGGTGGGACTGTCAAATGATCCATTCACTATGGAAATCAGTATGGTGATTCCTTAAAAAGTTGGAATTAGAAATACCACTTGATCCAACAATCCCATTACTAGGTATATATCCTAAAGAAATAAGAGCCAGGACAAGAACAGATATATGCACACCCATGTTGACCACAGCACTATTTACAATAGCAAAAAGATGAAAACAACCTAGGTGTCCATCCACAGAAGAATGGATAACCAAACTATGGTACAAAAATGCAATGGAATTCTATGCAACCTTAAAGAATAATGTACAATCTGCAAAATGTGGATGAACATGGAGGACATTATGCTGAGTGAAATAAGTCAATCACAGAAGGACAAATATTGTATTAGTCCACTATTGTAAAAATGTGAAAGAAAGGTTTATACATGGAAGGAAACTTACTTTGTTGGTTACCAGGGGTAGGAGGGAAGGAGAGGGAACATGGCAAAATTGAAAAAAATATAATAAATAAATTAATTAAATAATTAACAAAGAAAGAATTCTTTTGAAAATAATGAGTAATCAATAAACTGAGCTTTTCAGAGAGAAAAAGAGGGAAAAAAAGATTGAAGGAAGAAGATTGAAGAGTCACTGTATCTAAACAATTTGTTGATGTTTCATTATTGCAAGAAGTAGCATATTCTCAAGAGCCAATGGTACTGAAGGAAGAAGTACAAGTTATACTGAAGTAATTAGTGAAAAACAAAGCTCTGGGAATTGACAGAATACCCACTGAGATGTTTCAACAAATGGATGCAGTGTGAGAAGTGCTTCTCTGTTTATGTCAAGAAATTTGGTGGATAGCTACCTGAAAACTAAAGGAAGAGATCAATATTTGTGCCCATTCCAAAGAAAAGTTATCCAACAGAATGTAGAAATTATCAAATAATATCATTAATATCACGTGCAAGTAAAATTTTGCTGAAGATAATTAAAAACATTTGTAGTGATACATTGACAAAGAACTTCCAGAAATTCACATCCCATTCACTAGAGGACATGGGAAAGGGGATATCATTGCTGATGTCAGATGTATCTTGGCTGAAAGTAAGGAATATCAGAAAGATGTTTACTTGTGTTTTATTGACTATGTGAAGGTATTCGACTGTGTGGCTCATAACAAATTAGCAATAACACTGCAAAGAAAGAGAATTGCAGAACACTTAATTGTGTTCACGAGGAACCTGTACACAGACAAAGAAACTGTCATTTGAACAGAACTAGGGGATACTGCAATAAGGAAAGATGTGTCAGGATTGTGTTTTTTCACCACACTTATACAATCTGTTTGCTTACCAAATAATGTGATAATCAGAACTATATGAAGAAGAACATGGCATCAGGATTGTGGGAAGACACATGAACACCGCATGATATGCAGATGACACAACCCTGCTTGCTGAAAGTGAAGAAGCCTTGAAGCACTTAGAGATGAACATCAAAGACTTTGTATGGATTATACCTCAATTTAAAGGAAACAAAAATCCACACAACTGGACCAATATGCAGAATCATGATAAATGGAGAAAAGACTGAAGTTGTCAAAGATTTCAATTTACTTGGATCCACAATCAACACCCATGGAAGCATCAGTCTTGAAATCAGACATCATACTGCACTGAGCAAATCTGCTGCAAAAGCCCTCTTTAAAGAGCAAACATGTCACTTTGAAGAAGAAGGTGTGCCTGACCCAAGCCATGATATTTTTAATAGCCTCATATGCATGGGAAAGCTGGACAATGAATAAGGAAGACCAAGGAGGAACTGATGTTTTTGAATTGTGTTATTAGCAAAGAATACTTTAAGTACTATGGACTGCCAAAAAATAAATAAATAAATAAATCTCTCCTGGAAGAAGTATAGCTCGAACGCTCCTTAAAAGGGAGAATGTCCAGATATCGTCTCACTTGCTTTGGTCATATTGTCAGATGGGACCAGTCCCCAGAGAAGGACACAACAGAGAGTCAGTGAAAAAGGAAAGACCTTCAAGGAGATGGATTGAAACAGTGGCTGTAACAATGGGCTCAAGCATAGTAACCATATGATGATGGCACAGGATCCAGAAGTTTTTCGTTATGTTGTATATAGGGTCTCTATGAGTTGAAACCAACTCGATGGCACCTAATAACAATGAGAATGGCATGAGTAGGGGGAAAACTGTGGAATAAATTGGAAAAAAAAAAAAGAGTAAGTTGAGGACCCCTCATCCTTTTAATATTCAAAGTATGTGGCCACAGGCTGCTCCCATAATGAAATGGTCAATGTAATTAGAAAAAGTCTGGCCGATTTACATTTATATTTGTGTTTACATGTGCATGTTAAAGTCAGAATATAGGGATTAATCTAAAAACATTGTAGTAGGCATAAGGAATTACTGAAGATTCATAATATATTTGAAGTATATACTACTATATAAATAACTATAAGAAAAAAAAATTGAATAAAATAATTATCCTAAACTATTCTTTGTTATTCTTCCTAGGCCCATTAGTTACATGAAAGCATCTATAATCATGAGAACATACAAGAATGCCATAAATGTTTATTAGGTAGTTATAATTTATTATAACTATAATAAATTAGGTCATATAAATAGACACAGGGGACGGAACAGGCAGAAAGATATCACAATTTATTCTATGTTCTTTGAGCCAATTATTTAAGTGAATGTTGATTTGAAATAAAATAGTACATTTTAAGTTCTTACCTTCAATTTCCATCCTCAATTGATAATCTCCACCAGAAGTGTATGGACAAGAACATAAAAATGATCCCACGCCTATCAAAATGGATGAAACTGCAATCCATCTTGGTTTGTTTCCTCTCCCTCCATAGTATGATATAAATATTGCTAACAGACCAGATGAAATATCATAGGTCAATGACAATGCTAATTTCTCAGTGACTTTCAAATTATAGTCAGTCTGAAAATGATCAATGCTCTTATGTGTAAGACCAAATACAATACCTAAAATGTAAAAAAGAAAGCAATGATGTGCATTTTAATAGGTCATTACAATCATTATGAATCAAACCTTAATTTACACTGATTTAAGTTTATTGTGCATTAATCTGAATGTTGAAGACCAATACGAGCAAATAAGAATTCCTTCTCTAAAACCCTAATAGTCCTTACCACTTTACCAGTTGTCATTGAGTCAGTTATGATTCATGGTGATTCAATGGAGGTCAGAGTAAACTGTGCTCCACAGAGTTGTCAACAGCTTTGATGTTTTGGAAGCAGATGGCTAGGCCTTTCTTTCTTTCTTCTGAGTGAATTCAAACTGCCAACCATGGAGTTAGTACCCATTCAATTACTGTTTGCACCACCAACGGATTCCTTCTAATAGTCCTTAACTTCTATGAAATACTATTGTTGTTGTTGTTATGTGCCATCAAGTCAGACCTGGCTCACAGCGACCCCTCCTTAGGTTTCCCAGCCAGTATCACTACAGAAGTAGTAGTACAGTACACTACAGAAGAGTAGTATAGTAGTAGTACAGGAGTGGCTGGTGGGTTTGAACCACCAGCCTTCGGTTAGCAGTCAAGTCCCTTAGGCACTATACTACCAGGGTAAATTTAATTTTTGAATTTTTTTAACAACTACTTTTATGAGTAATTTATAGAAAAACCCCAATCGGTTCAGTCATCTCATTCCAGATCTTTATTTTAATGTATTTTATTATCAACAATGAATAAATAACAACATAATGAATGTTTATCTGTCATCCCAAATAGGAAATAAATATCAAAACAGTTGAACCCCAATGTGTATTCCCCAAAACACATTCTTCTCCCCCCCTTTTCCATAACTACATGCTATATTTGATATTTATCATTTCTGTCTTTTTAATACTCTTGTAGCAATGTACCCAGTTTGTTATATGTGGTGGCTTGCATGTTGCTGTGAGGCTGGAAGCTATGTTGTTGTTGTTATGTGCCGTCGAGTCAGCCCCGACTCATAGCGACCCCTCCTTGGGTTTCCGAGGCAGTATCACTACGGAAGTAGGATTGCCCAACCTTCCTTCCGAGGAGTGGCTGGTGGGTTTGAACCGCCAGCCTTCTGGTTAGCAGTCAACTGCTTTTAGCCACTATGCTACCAGAGCTCCTATATCACTGGTATTTCAAATACCAGTAGGGTCATCTATGGTGGACGGGTTTCAGTGGAGCTTCCAGACTAAGACAAACTGGAAAGAAGGATGGGGCCATCGACTTCTAAAAAAAAACTAATCACTGAAAATCTTATGAATAGCAGTGAAACACTGTCTGATATGTTACTGGAAACTTCATGAATAGTAAAACATTGATATAGTGCCAGAAGGTGAGCCCCTCAAGTTAGAAGGCACTCAAAATTCAACTGGGGAAGAGATGCCTCCTCAAAGTATAGTCAGACTTAATGACATGGATGGAATAAAGATGTTAAGACCTTCATTTGCTGATGGGGCATGACTCAAAAGACTCAAAATGGGAGTTAACATTCATTAACAATCAGAATGCGGAACATATGAAGTATGAATCTAGGAAAATTGGAAATTGTCAAAAATGAAATGGAATACATAAAGAACAACATCCCAAGCATTAGTGACCTGAAATGGACTGGTATTTGCCATTTTAAATCAAATAATCATATTGGCTTACTACCAGGAATGGAAATAGAAGACAAACGGCATCACATTTGTCATCAAAAACATTTCAAGATCTCTCCAGAAGTACAATGCTGTCAGTGATATGCATACGCCTACAATGAAGACCAGTTAATATGACTACTGTTCAAATTTATTCACCAACAACTCAAGCCAAAGATGAAGAAATTAAAGATTTTTACTAACTTCTGCCATCTGAAATTGACCAAACATGCAATCAAGATGTATTGATAATTACCATTGGTTGGAATACAAAAGTTTCAAATAAAGAAGAAGCATTAGTATTTGGAAAATACAGCAGGTCAAGAAGACAAAGTAAAGTACTATAATGAAATTTGCAAACACCATATTAGAAAAATCAAAGTCAGAAAATCAAAAGGGAAGAGCATGCCCAGAATTTTTCAAGCAGAAAGAACTGAAGAAAAAAATTCAACCTTTATTTTACAGTACTGAAGGATTCTATGGGCAAAATATTGAACAACACATGAAGCATCAAAAGAAGATGCAAGGAATACATAGAATCACTGTACAAAAAATAATTGGTTGATGTTCACCTATTTCAGGAAGTAGCATATGATCAAGAACCAATTGTACTGAAAGAAGAAGTCCAACTTGTACTGAAGGAATTAGTGAAAAGCTCCAGGAAATGACAGAATACGCATTGAGATGTTTTAACAAATGGATCCAGACTAAAGGCACTTAACTCTTTTATGCCAAGAAATTTGGAAGATAGATATCTGGCCAACTGTCTGGAAGAGATCCATATTTGCACTCATTCCATAAAAAGGTGACACGACAGAATGTAGAAACGATTGAACAATATCATTAATAACACACACAAGTGACATTTTGTTGAAGACAAGTCAAAAGTGGTTGCTGCAGTATATTGACAGGGAACTTCCAGAAATTCAAGCTGGATTCAGAACAGGAATTTGGAATGAAGGATATCATAGCTGATGTCAGATGTACCTTAGCTGAAAGCAAAGAATACCAGAAAAATGTTTACCTGTGTTTTATTGAATATGCAAAGGCATTTTACTGTGTGGATCATAACAAATTATGGATAACATTGCAAAGAATAGAAATTCCAGAAAACTTAGCTGTGCTCATGAGGAACCTGTACATAGACCAAGAGGTTGTTGTTTGCATAGAACAAGAGGATCCTGCATGGTTTAAAATCAGGAAGGGTGTGTATCAGGGTTGTATGTTCATCATCCTTATTCATTCTGTATGCTGGGCAAATAATATGAGAAGCTGGTCTATATGAAGAAGAATGTGGCATCAGGATTGGAGGAAGACTCATTAACACCATGTACTATGCAGATGACACAATCTTGTTTGCAGGAAGAAAAGATGACTTGAAGCAATTACTGATGAATATCAAAGACTACAGTCTTCAGTATGGATTACACCTCCACTTAAAGAAAATGAAAATCCTCACAACTAGACCAATAAGCAACATCATGATAAATGGGGAAAATATTTAGGTTGTCAGGGATTTCATTTTACATGGATCCACAATCAACAAGAATGGAAGCAGCGGTCAAGAAATGAGACATCATATTGCACTGGGAAAATCTTCTGCAAAAGACCTCTTTAAAGTGTTAGAGAGCAAAGGTGTCACTTTGAAGACGAAGGTCGCCTAACCCAAGCCATGGTATTTTCTATCCCCTCAAATGCATATGAAAGTTGGCCAATAAGTAAGGAAGACAAAAGAAAAGATGATGCCTTTGAATTGCATTGTTGGTGCAGCATACTGAAAATACCCCTGGACTGCCAGAAGAATGAACAAATCCATCCTGGATAAATTTAAGCCAGAATGCCCCCCATAAAAGGAGAATGGCAAGACTTTGTCTCATCTATTTGATCATGTTGTCAGAAAGGACAATTGCCTAGAGAAGAATATCATACTTGGTAAAATAGAAGGTCAGCAAAAAAGGGGAAGACTCTCAATGAGATGGATTGAAACAGTGGCTACAACAATAGGCTCAGCATAACAAAGACTGTGAGAATGGCACAGGATTGGGCAGTGTTTTGTTTTGTTGTACATGGAATTGCTAGGAGTCAGAGCCAACTTGAAGGTACATAGCAACAACATTTGATTGATACATAATTAAATGAAGAGATATATCATTTTCATGTGTGGAAAATCCAATATTGTACCCAAATTGAAACAATGACTTGTGGGACATCAGTTAATAAGTAGTGTCATTACATAACCAATCACTGCTATCACTTGTTCAAAAACCTTCAGAGGCTCAGAACGATTACATTATCCACCGAAACCCACTGCTGTCAAGTTGATTCTGACTTTTAGTGACCCCTTAGGGCAGAGTAGACCTGCCCCCTAAGGTTTCTAAAATTGTAACTCTTTATAGATTCAGACTGCCACATCTTTCTCCCATGAAGTTGCTAGTGAGTGCAAACCACTGACCTTTTGGCCAGCAGCTCAGTGCTTTATCAAATGCACCACCAGGCCTCCTTAATTGAGACAATACCTGTAAAGTCCCTTATGTATCACCCAGCACCTTAGTAAGAATAAATCTCTTTCTCTCTCTCTCTCTCTTTTCTTTCTTTTTTTTTTTTTTTTTTAATTATGATTTGGGTGAAAATTTACAGAGCAAATTCATTTTCCATAAAGCGTTCATATACATTTTGTTTCGTGATATTGATTGCAATCACCATAATGTAACAGCTCTCTTTCCACTTCCTCCCTGTGGTTATCTTCCCTTCTGTCCTTCTTTCCTATAAATTCCTGCCCTTTGAGCTATCTTTCTGTGCAAATACTGCCCTTCTGATCACCCACGACTGATTCATCTAAGGAGTGTACCTACCTGGTATAAATGTTCACCTTGTATTTCCGTAGTGATACCACCTTGGAAAATCAATGAGGGGTTGCTATGAGTCAGATCCAACTTGATGGCAGTGGGTTTGGTTTGGTTTTATTGTTTGGCTGGAAGCTATGGGAGTGAGTTTAATCCCAGGCCCAAAAGTGACTAGGGGCCATAGTCTCAGGGTTTTCACCAGTCTCTATCAGACCAGTTAGCCTGGTCCTTTTCATGATTTTGAGTTTTGTTCCACATTTTTCTCTCACTCTATCCAGGATCTTCTGTATTAATCTCTTTTCAAATGGTTGACAGTGGTAACCAGGTACCATCTAGTTCTTCTATATCAGGGTCATGTAGGCTGAGGTTCACATGGTCTACTAGTCCCTTGAATTAATTGTTTCTATGCATCTTTGGTTTTCTTCATTCATCTTTGCTCCAGACAAGGAAAGACCAATTGGTGCTTACAAGCTTTTAAAACCACAGTCATTACTCACCAAAGTAGGATGTAGACGATTTTTTTGTGTAGTATGATATACCAATTGAGATGATGTAACCCATGACCATGGTCCCAAACCCAAAGGCCCAACAACTAGCTCTCCATCATAGTGGTTGGCTATACCTAAGAAGATATTGGAACTTTGCTCTCTGTTAGATCTATTCATACAGACATCTTTACAGCACAT